CGCGGGCGGGGGCCCCGCAGGTCCCGCCCCGGCCCGCACCACCGTCTGCTCCCAACCCAGACAGCTCCACCCTTCCGATCCCGTTTTCACAAAAGCAAAGGTACGGCAGATCCTTTCTACCAAAGGTAACGCTGTGTTTCTCAGGCAAGGCGAAATTCCCATCGCCGTGTCAGGATTCCTCTCAGCACTGTCCCTCTTTAGCAAAATGCCAGCGCCTGCCAGCTCACCTGTCTGCAATTACGCGGAGCAAACCACATCTACCGCAGAAGAGGTTACGGAAGCACTGCGGAGCTCCTAATGGAATCCTTAAGCAAGTCCCTTTCCAATACAAACGCCAACTGTGCAACTTCAGCACGGACCGTTCCATGTCTGCGCGTTTTTTTAGGTTCTGCTTCACGTCACTTACATCTGTCTTTGTTCACTTTTAATGGGACGTGGAATTTCCTGAACCACATACCTGGTGGTACAACTGGGACAGTTCTACACAGCCTCATTTCGTCAGTGGCTGTCTGTCGCTAATGAGGTTAACGGTGAAAGAACAGAAAAAGGCAGCTTCCAAGGGATGTTTTCCTTGCTGTTAATGTGAGAAGGGTTCTTCCCTGCCATGAAAGAACGCAATCATTTCGGAGGGAAATCTATTGTTTATTACTCAGGACCGACAGTAAAGAGGACTGAAATTAAACCTAAAAACTATCTCAATTTATCCAGCAATGAGCAGATGTACTGATGCATTTTGCAGTATCATGCCCAGAACTCAGTTTTGCAGGGAGAACAAACACTCCAGCTTTGAGTAGCCAGACTATGCAGAGAGATCCTTAGTTACACAGAAAGATGTGTTTTTCCAAAGGTCTAAGAATTGCACTGTTTGCATCAATCTTTATTGGCTCTGAATAAAAATGTCTTCAAAGCCTTCAAGTTCAGATTCTAAATGAGGGCAATTAAGCATTTAGTCCCAAATGCATAAAATTTTCAACTACATTTTACACAAATAACGTTTTTTTCCCACTGTATATATTCTTACTCAAATCTAAAAGCCAGCAATCTGGAAAAGAAATGAAACCTGTGCAGAGAAACTCTACGCTGACATACAGAAAACACAAGGACACCAGTGACACCATCACTTCCTTTCTACAAGGGAAGATTTTTTTTTTTTTCTATTTTCAGCATTCACATATAAACTTCAAATCCTGAAAGTAAACACCTGTCTCAGAGTGCTTCACAAGCACTCAAAGAAAACTATCTACAAATCATACATTCAGCTCCTCCGTCATTTTCAACACTTCCAACAATCACTTTTACAAGCCTGAACTTTCATAGCTGGGAAAGCTGTGTCAGCTACAGATTTAAGGAGCGATAACACTTATCATCTGAACACACTTCCCACTATCAAGTGGCTTTACCAAACACTGTTCTACAGATAGTAAGAGCTTAAGAGATGTGTGCAAAAGAACCACTGCCAGACTCGACTCATGGCTCCCCTGTTATGAGATCATACCATTACTTCGAAACCAACCCAAAAACAGGCATCAGAGCACAGTGTGACTACTG